ATTATTTTTATGTGAATTTTAATAAGAAATAAATAATTAAAATTAAATTTAAACAATAAAAGTAATATATATATCATCTTTAAACTTTACGAAAACTAAAAAAATAGCGATTTATTTTTTATATTTTTCATTTTCTTTTGTTTGGTAGACCTTTTTTCTTTATTGTTTTTTTCTTTTCATATATATATATATATATATATATATATATATATATATATATAGAGAGAGAGAGAGAGAGAGAGAGAGAGAGAGAGAGAGAGGGGGGGGGCGCCCGGTTAGCTTGTATAACTAGGTTGCACATAGAACCAAAAACAAAGAAAAGGGAGGGAGGCCAACGTGCTTAGGCCTAACATTGCGAGCCCACGCGTCGGGCCTTGCCTTCGCTTAATCGGAAAAAAAAAACCTACAACTTTCGACAAACATGAGATCGTCAAAAAATCGAGGGTCAACTTTCAAACACCAGAAGTTGAATTCGGACATCATTTTTTTCTCCAAACACGTTTAAACGATCGGAATAAAGTAAATAAACACATCTAAAACCTTAAAAATCATTTTAATGCACACAAAAATAAAGAAAAATACAAAATCAAATCGATTTTTTTTTCTTGTTTTAGCTCCAATCTACTTCTTCTAATTGTTTAAGGCTTGAAACTATCATGGACAAACTCATCTTTTAAAGATAAAAAAATTTAGTAGATTTTCGTCAATCGAGTGGCCTAAATAAGATTGATAGGCGATCTCTCTCTCCTTCCATTTCTCTCTTACTCTCGACCTTCTCTCTCCATCCGAAACCAAAATGGATGAGAAAATGAATATGTGGACCAAAATATGCATTTGAAAATATCAAATGCCAAAGTATAAAAAAAAATCATAAATAATAAAATGTATAGTGAAATATGAGAGGATGAATAGTAAAATATGAGTGTGTATATAATGTTTCAAATAATGAGTATGTAGTAAACTAACATTTTACTTTAGTTTTTCAGTAAATACGTTGGACCAAAAGGAAACCAAAAATTGATACATGAATCGGGCTTCAGTTTTCTAGGTCACTGGCCCGAGAGATATTCGTCCTAGGGCCACTGTCTGACTTAAACTAAGGCATGCATCGGGCCACATATGGTTTATCAATAATTGAGCTGGCAGAGGTTGGAAAAATAAACACTTTTCTTTTTTACTCTTTGTCCTTTTTCATCTTTTCCCTTTTCTTTTTTATCTCTTGACTCAAAATTCCAACCTACTTTGTAACACATAGCAGAAAAATAATCCATCAAGAAAGTGACCTTATAAACAACAAAACTAATCTTGATTGATTGCTAATAGAGGTTGTTAAGAGATAATTGATGACTTTGATCATCAATTATCAATCCACTAATTGCGTAAATCAGTCAAAAAGCCATGAAAATGACCTCTATTTACTATATTGTTTATCTCAAAAGTGAATAGTGGGGCAATTTTTTTTTCGGCAGCCTTGCTATATTCTCCGAACAAAAGTTAGTCCAAACATAAACCTACATGCAATGGGGCGGGAATTCGTTAGCATCAAGCCATCGACCAATCCTTTTTTTCTTTTCTTTTCTTATTCTTTCCTTAAAGGCATCTTATTCAGGCCTCTGGGCCTCCACTCAATTTTTTTATTTTCCTTTTTCTGTTTGATGGATACGCTGCAGGGGCCTGTGATTGACGCTACAAAAAAACACTATTTAAGAGCATGTTGATGCACGCTAGAAAGCTACTTGCCCGTTTACATATGGATTAGTCCGAATCTAAGGATTGGTTTTTTAGTTGAACCACTACTGGCTAGCAGGAAACTTTCTTTTCAACTTCGTACCCGTGGGCTGTAGCTGGACTTCTAAAACTATAACGTATCCACCATTAACGGTGCAGTTGAGTTATCACAAGAAAAAAAAAAAAACCCAGTTCTGTTGTGTTTACAAAAGATGAGTTGTTTGGAAACAACAATTTTGTGAAAAGTTTATACATAATTCATCTTTTTTCAGATAAAGTACATTAGGAACGAATGGAGCGCGCGCAGCAGATATATATATATATATATATATCTTAAAGGGTTCCTAATTAGTCATAATTAGTTCAGTTTGCCAAAAAGATGTCATTATAATTTAATGCTGGCTGCAGAAAGTTGAAAAGAAAAAGATGATGGACTAAAGGCAATTAGATGTATAAAATGATTAGGCAGCTGAGGCAAAGACAACGCAAAATGATAGATGATATTAGGCAAAGGGAAGGTGGTCCTTTTGGGGTCCCTTGAGCTGCACCATTTTCCAATAAAGTATTCCACATTTCAGCTGTTAGCTGAAGCAGAGTAATGGCAGCAACATGTACTTGGGGGCTAAGACATTCTGGATACTTGAAGAAAACATGAGACACATATCATTACCAAAGAGGAATAACCCCGTTGACATATGTATGAACCTCAACGTTTATTCCTTTCACAGTTTTTTCTAATCAAACTCTGATTCTCTGAATCTGTATCGAGGCATGAAGCAGCGTTGGTTTTCTCTCGCATATAAAGCTATAGCTGCTCATCCTTGATATCTCTATCATGTCCCCTTAGAAATTGGTTCCATCCACTTGGACTGGAATAATCTGAAGCCTTAAATGAAGAATGAGTCCCACATGTACTTAAGGGGTGACTCACATTTATATTGCATTATAAAGTAGTTAGAGAATTGATATAACAAGTTTAAAATGGCCAAAGGCAAAAGCGGGTACTAATTAATTAGTTAGCTGGACCAAACCAAAAACTAACTAGCAAAAGAAAAAAAAAAAAACGCATTAGGAATAAATTTATAATGAGTAAATTATAACATAGTCCCTGTGGTTTATCAAAATTAATTTGTTGATCCTTATAATATGTAGTATAAAAATTAATTAAACTGTCTTATTAGTGTTAGTGTTGATCATCCTCAATTTAGTAGTATTTTCCTTCTTTTTTTTTTTTTTTTTTAAAATACATTCTTTCATTATCAAAATTTCTCCTCTCACCTGTTTCTTCTTTCTTTCTTTTTTATTTTTCAAAAAAACAAATTAATTGAAAAATAACTTGGAACTGACAAAACGACTAGGCTATAGATGAATTTAAAAAAAGAGGGCTTAAATGGATAAATTTTGAAACTATAATGACTAATTCATTAATTAATTTCATCGAGCTAGAGGAATTAAGAGAAAATTAACTCATAATACGTATTTTGCTGTGTATTCAGTATTCTGTCAGAATGCAGGCAGGCTTCGTATGTACTTTTTTTGATATGTCAACATGGCAAATAGGGGCATCTTCTTATGTATATAAAATGGGCAAATCTTACTGCAGAAGAGGTGCCAAAACCCATGATGTAAAGAGTCTAGACAAAGCTTTTGAGATGGGAGAGGATTTTATCCTCCTTTTTGTCACTATGTGATTGTTTCTTAATTTCTAGCCAAAACCATCCACGTGCATGGTCTAGGCTAAGCAAACCGTCTTGATTAAAAAAAAAAAAGCTAACAACTCCCACCATGGTTAGCTTTTGAGTAGCTTTCCCTGCCCTTTACTCGGTATTTCTGGGCGACATACCAAAGCCAACGAAAGTCCCACGTTATAGCGAAAGAGACATTAGATCATCATATGATTATCTTTTGGTATATATCCTATGACGAAGTATTCAAGTCTTGATCGAGAGAGGAGCAGGTAACACCTAAATCCTCCAAATAATTACAAGATTTCCTATACGTTAATTAATACAGAGTTGCAAGTAAACAAGGAATTTCTAAACCACTAACAAAGATGTACCCCCGCCAACAACATTCCTCTATCTTGAACCCAATTAATTCATTAAGCAAAGGTTAGCAAACTACCATATCCATCGATTTGACCTATCTATATATGCACAATTAATTGCTCCCATCTTCAAAATATGCACAATATTTTGACTTCACATTGCTGCCTTTTCGGCTCTTATTTGTTGGAGGGATTTTAAATTTTCGAAACCTCATCAACTTCACTTCCATTCAGATGGGTCTTGCTCAGACTGTACTAATTACCGAGTCCTGAGGCCGTGTGAATGTGTCAGCTGAACTATGTCCTACATATTCTGACCTTCTCTCTCTCCCTCTCTCTCTCTCTCAATATGTGAAATAGAGAAAAGTTGAAGTCAGACTCCTTTTAGCTACTGTTGGTTTGGTTGACCCTAAAGCATTGTGATGTCAAACCCACCTATGTCAACTAGTGAGTACTTGTGAGATGCTATCCCAAAATAGAGTTCTAAAACAAGCAATCAAATTTGAAACCTCACCTGCTCCTGAGGCTGGAACTGTGCCATTTTGAATTTGTATCCTTTTAACCTTTCTGTGGACAATGGTCCCTTTTAGTAATACTTATCCCAACACATAATGAATTTTTTTTGTATTTTTGTTTCAAAAGCCAAAACATAATGTTTTAGTGAAATAACATTACCATCATAAATTGTCAATAATAGCAGAGAACATCTTATTCCCTAGTTATTTTTACTTTTACTGTAAAAAAAGAAAAAAAAATCTATACTTTTCTTTCATTAAGCCATGAAGCCATAAAGATTGGATAGATCTTTTTCTTTCTTTACTCTGCACCAAATGCATTAAATGAATCAAGCTCGAATGAAATTGCAGTTGAACCCAGAAAACTTGAATCTACATATATATATATATATATATATATATATATATACAACCGCCCCACTCTTAGATTAGAGTTTTTCCCTGTACAAACAATAGTAATGAATAGCATAGAAATTAGCCAATCCCCTTTGGCGTTGGACCAAGTTCAAAAATCAAAACACAACTCCACTCCACTCAACTTTTTTTATTTTTTAAACAAAACCCATTTCCTCTGCCAGTAGCTTCTGCTTTCCTGAAACGCCGCTACCACCCATTTCTGTTTTTCCCTCCAGAAGAACACACACTCTTCTAACAAGGTAAAAGATTTTAGATCCTCGAGCATTGATTTCTTGGTGGTTGGGGTTAGAAATATGGTGGCAGAAGCTTGGATTGTGAAGATGGGAAACCAGGTAAGTAGCAATCTTAAGCACGCACTACTTCTTGAATCTTACAAGAAAAAGAACAGCCACAGCCACCACCACCCAAGAAATAAACAAGATTCCAAAGACAAACAAATTATTGGCATCTTGTCTTTTGAGGTTGCTAATGTTTTGTCTAAAACGGTACACCTCCATAAATCCCTCACTGATTCTGAGATCTCAAAGCTTAAAATTGAGATCTTGAAATCCGAGGGAGTTAAAAACTTGGTGTCTACCGATGAAAGTTACCTCCTTCAACTTGCTTTAGCTGAGAAACTCGATGACTTGAACAGGGTAGCTAATGTTGTTTCTCGGCTAGGAAAGAAGTGTGTTGAGCCTGCTTTGCAGGGTTTTGAGCATGTTTATGGGGATATTGTTAGTGGGGTTATTGATGTGAAGGAATTGGGGTTTTTGGTTAAGGATATGGAGGGTATGGTTAAGAAGATGGAGAGGTATGTGAATGCAACCTCTAATTTGTATTGTGAACTGGAGGTTTTGAATGAGTTGGAGCAGGCTACCAAGAAATTTCAGCAGAATCAACACGAGGAGAGTCGAAGGGCATTTGAGCAGAAACTTATTTGGCAGAAGCAGGATGTGAGGCATCTTAAGGAGATTTCTCTTTGGAACCAGACTTGTGATAAGGTTGTTGAATTGCTGGCTAGGACTGTGTGTACTATTTATGCGAGGATTTCTGTTGTTTTTGGGGAATCTATGTTGCAAAAGAAGGGCCCTGGGGCTGTTGAAGGGCTTAGTTCCTCCCATCCTATGAAGGATGAGTGCGGGGAGGTTTCAGGTCATATTGGTGATTGTCATGGTTCGCGAAGGGTGTCAGGGCCACTGAGGCGGGCTGTTAGCGGGAGAAGGAGCAACGGGTGTCAATCGGGACCAATTGAGAGAGCCATATTGGAGAGGAGGGAGACACTTATTAAGCCCCGGATTGCTTCACGGAAAGGTGAAGTTGATCTATTATTTCGTACTGAAGACATTGTGTTTCCATGTGGGACTAGTCCTGGAAGGCTATTTCTGGATTGCCTTAGTTTAAGCAGTTCAGCTTCAAAGTTTGATGATGATGATGACAGTTGTGTGGTTGTAGCTGAGGACCAGAGGAGCCAAATTTCCCGTTGTTATAGTGTTGGCAATGGTAGTTTGAAGAGAGAGCAGCCCAGCCCTTCAGGCTGTTCCATTCAGGGTGTCTCTTTCAGTGGAGATCAAAGACAAGTCAGGTGTGGTGGGGTGAATAATGCACGGTTTGGCCCCAAAAGCAGGCTAATGGTGTATGCTCCTCCTTCGACTATTGGAGGATCTGCTTTGGCCTTGCATTACGCAAATGTCATAATTGTTATAGAGAAGCTGCTTCGCTATCCCCATTTAGTGGGTGAGGAAGCAAGGGATGACTTGTATCAGATGTTACCGACAAGCCTAAGAATGTCTCTGAGGACTAACCTCAAGTCCTATGTGAAGAATCTTGCTATATATGATGCTCCACTTGCCCTTGATTGGAAGGAAACTCTTGATGGGATACTGAGGTGGCTTGCTCCCCTTGCGCATAACATGATCAGGTGGCAAAGTGAGCGTAATTTTGAGCAGCACCAAATTGTCAAGCGGACAAATGTTCTTCTGCTTCAGACATTGTATTTTGCTGACAGGGGAAAGACGGAGGCAGCTATTTGTGATCTTCTTGTTGGGTTGAATTACATATGTCGTTATGAACATCAGCAGAATGCATTGTTGGATTGTGCAAGTAGTTTTGATTTCGAAGACTGCATGCAATGGCAGTTGCAGTGCCGAGGTTCTTTCGTTGATTAGTTATCTTAATTAATATGAACACCTGAAGGAGGTTGTAAAGCGTAGTTGTTTACTCCTGATACTTGAATGAAGACACACTTGACAGTTATTGATTAATGTCTTTCACTGCCGGGTATGGGAAGTTTTGACTTTTGAGGTACACGAATTCAATTATTTATGAGAAAATCTCTCTGTTCTGTAGAATGTGTATATATCTCGGTGTACAATGTGTAGTTTTTACTTTTATCAAAATTTCTGTGAAATTTGCACGTAGAGGTTTAACTCAAGGAATCCAGTCGTTGAAAATATATTAGATGATGTCAAGTTTCTATTCCTTCATTTTTCTGACTAACGTTTGCATCTTCTGATCGATGATTGATATTTATAATTAGTTCTGCTTCAAATTATCCATCCCAAGTAATGCTTCTTAAAAGCATGTAACAGGTTGCTGTAGAAGTATGTCAAGGTGTCTGACCATTTGTTGCTTTCTCTTGAAAGTATGCTGTAGATTAAGATCATTGAGTCTGAGCACTCCAGAAGCTCATTTTTTCTTTGTGAATACCCTGTCTACATTGTTAAAATTCATGCCTGCAGTCCTTATAATTTAAGGGATCAAAGTTGGTGTTTGAAGTGTGGATGGATTCTAGATCAGCTTGTAATATGCCTTGCGGCTGCCTAGTTGTAGTACTGAACTGGACAAGCAAATTTCTGTTGATTAAAATCAATAGTCAAAATTGGTCATCCCCAATAGTAAACAACAAACTAAAATTCTTGTTGCGACACATCAATCAAGCGTAGTTTTCTTGCCCAGTGATGACTTCTTTAGGCTTAATCAACATCATTCTTCTCTATATTTTCAAGCATAATGGCACCTATGAGTCACGCATTCTGTTTGTGTTGCTGAAGACAGATTAAGAAATTAGAATGGATGTGAGATGAGGTCACAGGCATGGAAATACTTTATCTGATGCAACAAAATGCATGCATTTGTGCTTTCTTCTCTAGTATTCTTGCATCCACAAGCATCTAGTGTAGAATAGGCATTCGTCTGCACGAGCGTAAGATAAGGTCAACCTCAATAGGAAAACATTGTAATGGATACGTGTATTGACATTCAGATCTAAATTAAGGGTTAATCGATACATCTACTCTTATATATTAGACTTATTTTTCAATATGCACTTTTAAGAATTTTTCACTCTCATATGTTCTTGTATGTTCATATTTTCTCTCATTATTTTTTTGGACAAAATTATCTCTTAGACTACCAATATATATATATATATATATATATATATATAAAAACTTTAAAAAAAAAATTCTAAAAACTTCACAAAATTTGAAGAACCAAGAAAGTAGAACTTTAAAAAAATCATAAAAACATCCCAAAAATTTATAAATAACCCATAAAAATATATTTATGCAGAAACTAATAATTTTTTTTTTAAAAAAAAATCATGTTTTGCAAAACTTATTTTATTGGCATTTACATATTTTTATTACGACTATGGACGTCTTTTTTTTTAGATTTTACAAGCCAGTTTTATTTTTTATTTTTTGACTTTTTAATTAGGCTTTCAAGTTTTTAAAAATTTTCAAAATTTTTTTTTTAAAATAAATTTTCACGTTTTTAGATTTTTGAAAACCATATTTTTTGGGAGAGGTTTGAGGGCATTTTCCTTCAAGAAGTGGCAAAAGGGCATCTTGTAGAATATATATATAGTGAAAAAGTATTTAAATGACAAACGAAAAATAAGTCCAATATACAAAATAGATGGATGAATTAGCCGTTAAATTAAATATTTTATTAAAATGGGATCGTGACATCAGTATCCAAACACAAGCCAAGCAATTATCTATGCATACCGATTCAGAACACAAACCAAGATGCAGCCATTCTGTCACTCACCTTGAAAGCTAAAAGTATCGGAGGAGTTCGTCTTTTGAAATAATAGCTGTAATTGATGAAACATTAATTATTCCCTGTCAACGCATCTCACTTTTTTTTTTTTTTTGGTAGTTCAAGATCTGCATATTTCGTTTGTTTATGTGATTCTCGGGCAATCTTACTTCTGATATGAATCATTATTATGCATTGCAAGTTCTTTAACTTTTGGACCAACTTGCAGACCACACACATAGTTAAGAACTTATGGTCCAGCAAAACCAGTGGCTTTGGTCTTTTATTGCTTCTTAAGTTAGTTTTTGCATCGTAAGCTATAGTTTTTAGAGGGAACAACGTTTTCTTAAGTTGACATGGATCTGATATACCAGGGATCCGTATTTTGTATCAGTTCATTATGAGACACCTTGGACTTGAGAATTTACCAGATTGAACTTGTCAGATTATTTTCTCCCACTTTTCGTATATCTATCAAGAGAGACATTTGATATTGCATATATCATTTCTTGCAAATTAACGATCCTGAAAACTTGGAATTTTTACTGTCAATGATGGTTCCTACCAGATACATCCAAGGGGATCATGTGGCATTAAACTGGTTTACAGTTGGTGGAAGAGAGCATTGATGGGATAATAAAAGACTCTTTAATTTAGACACCTTGTGTGACCGGTCACTGGTCCGATATATTCAAACAGGCATGAACGTATTTTATTTTATTTTTTTAACCAATAGGCATGCACTTGGGTGCGGGTGTTTGAATGCGCGCACAATTACGCTAATGTCAGTGTCCATGTGTGGTTGCATTTTCATACATAGAATTAGAGCATGAGGTTAAAAAACTCTATTGATCAAGCTCGGCAATAGGAAATCCTCTATAATTTCTAATTACGTGGATGATTTCTTGGTATAGCCAGGTATTTGCAGAGGAAGAAAAAATGTTTGTAGCTTTTTAATTTTTTCCTCTTTCAGCAATAGAAAAAGCAAGAAACTATGCCTTGTTTTTCTTCACTAAAAATATGGTTAACATCAGTGGCGATCCAGAAACTTTTCAAAGAGGGATCCACATAGTATATTACAATGATCATGGATGAGCTTTCATATATTGAAAATAACAAATAAATATATAATTACTAATTTATCCGATACATCTTTTTCAATATATCACTATTATGATTATCCTCGACGTGTTTTCATATCTTGAAAATAACATATAATAGTATCATTACTAACATTATCGGATACATCTTTTTAATATATGTTACTAAATAATCATTTAACCATTGGTCACTAATTTTATTTCATTAATCACTTTTGATCAATTTCATTATAGAAATTGCTTGCTCCATAGTTGCCGTTGCTACGGGTAAAATCAATGCCAATTGCAAAAGTAAATAAACTAATGGATATATATATATATATATATATATATATATATATATATATATATATATGTCTCTATCATTTTCTTTGAAAGATCCCCTATCCCTTTCAAATTAGCAAACCTTTCATCTCCAAGCACGTCTATTAAATAATTCCCAAGTTGATTTCCGAGTGCCAAAAGCTCAACGACGAGAAAACTCACATGGATAAAACTCAACCATCTTCAACAACTTTTTATCAAATGCACTAAAAGAATTAGTTGGGCTTAAGCAATCAACACAAATAAGTAATTCGGTGTTCACTTCATTAAAACGACTATTAAGCTCCCGAAGTTGCACATCTTGACGAGCATAGAATAAATCAACTTGATAATAGTGTAAATTACGCACTCGCGAAAACCTTGTGATGCTTTTTTCGAGCATATGCATCTTCCATGTTTGGAATTTGAATACCGTGCTTGTTGCAAAAGGAAGAAACATCATTGAAAAGATCTTTCCATCCATCATCTCTTGTTTGTTTCAATCTTTGCTTGGCAACTTTAACAAGTGAGATAGCATTCACAATGTCTTGATCCTTGTTTTTCAATGCTGAATTTAACTTATTTGTGATACTTAAAATAGTCACCATCAAATGCATACAAAAGATAAAATCATATGACTCCAACAAATCTGAAAGACGGCGTGCTTATACTATTTGATCTTGACATATGGCATCACTTTCAATGTCTTCAAGCACTTCAATAATTGAATCAAACATAGTCATCACATTAAAAAATGATCCATAGTGAGATCCCCAACGAGTATCACCAACTCTTTTAATGCCCATTTCTTGGTTCAATCCTCGACCACTTTGAAGCTTTTCATTAAGTAATGCTTCAACTATATTGTTTGCCTATTTCTCTCTAAGCTTGTCTCGACGTTTACAAGAAACTCCAATCATATTCATCAAGCAAGCAATTAAATCAAAGAAATCATTAATGGAAAAATGATTCTTTGTAACAAACGAGTGTCAATTGTAATTAATGAGCAAAACAATGAATATAATATGCTCGATGTAGTTTCTTTCATAACCAAAGCCTTCAAGCCATTGAACTCACCTTTCATATTACTTGCTCCATCATAACCTTGTCCTCGAATTCCTAATAGACTTAATCCATATGTTGAAAGCATAGAATGAAGTGCAACTTTAAGTGATGTGAATGAAGTATCGGTAACATGTGCAATGCCAATAAATCTCTCCATTACAAATCCTCTTCTATCCACATATCGCAAAACCAAGGCCATTCGCTCTTTACATTATGCATCACGACATTCATCAACTAAAATCCCAAAAAAATCATCCATGAGGTCTTCAATTACTGCCTTAGTAGTTTCTTTTGCAATAGCATACACGATGTCTTTTTAGATTGAAGGAGCAATCATATGTTGATTTCCAAGAGCATTACGGAATACAACACTACCTACTTTTTCATTATATTGGGCATAAAAGTGTAGAAGTTCAAGAAAATTTCCTCTATTACTTGAACCTTCACGTTTATCGTGACCACAAAAAGGCAACCCTTGTCTCAAAAGGAATCTTACATAATCAACGGATGCATTTAATCGAGTTTTATACTTAGTCTTGATCGTGAGTAGCAAGTTTGTTTGCCTATTAAAAGCGGAATGGATAGATTGAGATTGTTTCATCAAATCTTGACATTTTTGAATCGCCATACTATGTGCACTTCCAACATCATGA